CTCCATTCTTCATTCCTTCCTTTCTTTCTTTAAAAGAAGATGTATGATCAGTATCATAGGATTCAGAGATACTGAATAGGGTGCACTCTCAAGAGACTGGAAATCAACCAAAAAGGCCACTTTCTGAAATGGAAACGATGAGTATTGATACACGGAATTATCTAAGCTTATGGTATTTATCAATTCTTTCTTTTGAATGTGGTTGGCATAAATAAATTTTGCTGATATGTGTAAGTCTGTTTTTCTAATCATTTGCTTGTGCTACTGGCCTATTTGTCTATCTCTGAGATTATGCCATGTAATTAGTATTCTTAATTGGTATTGATTTGAAATAAGTCCTCATATCTACTACGTGAAAGCACCTTGATGCTTTCCTTGGCATTCATTCTTCCTCAAGATATTTTTGATTCACTGTGTTCCATTATGCCCCAAAATTCTGGTGGAGTTTTGGTTTGGATTAAAACGCATTTGTGGAAAACCTAAACGTTCACCATATTTATTTTTTCTATTGAGAGTAAAATATTCCTCTACATTTATTTTTAGGCCTTTTGTTACATCTTTCAATAAACATTCATAATTTTCTATATAAAAGGCTCACAATGGTAGTGTTATTCTTTGCTCTTATATTTTYGTGTCTATGTTAAGTACTACTCTTTTAAAGACTGCACACTGCATATGTATATATTGTCTATTTTGATTTATTACAAAGATAGCTACGCACTTCCAGTGTTCTGCATTAAGATGTAAACTGCACACAAGTCATCACTCTCCAAAACATAGCTTCTTCAATTTATCAGATACTTGAAGCCACAAAGCAAACTGGAGAAAGGGGTAAATGCATAAAATTGGAAATTTCTAATTGCAATAGCCCTGCAAACCAGGAAATGGGTAGGACAGTAGGACTCTTGAATAGAAGCCTGGAGGAGCTTGAGAATTCAAAACACCCAGGGACAAAGTATAGGKGCTCCTCTACACACTCATGAGCTTTGCCTCTAGAGGCCCCATCAGGTTCGCAGTGAAGACCCTTCTAGTAAAGGGAGGAGGATGTCCAGGCTCTTCAAATACTTACAGGGTACTGGGATGAATCTCCATATTGAAGCCTGCCTTCAAAGAAAATAATTTTTTTTCAGAGCCTTATCTGATCTAGATGAAAGGCAATTAAACCAGGCAGCCACCTCTATCCTTTCTGTCCCACCAAAAGGAAGAGGGAAGGGGCAAAGAGGGAACTTTTCTGAAGGTCAAAGCCCAGAGAGTCAGGCTCACTAGAAAGAGATTTAATCATAAGATTWCAGATTGCTTCTGAAAATTACAGAACCCTAAAGAAAGAACCAAAGAAGACCTTAGAAGAYGGAAAGATCTACCTTGCTCTTGGATGGGCAGAATTCATATTATCAAAATGACCATACTACCAAAAGCACTACACAGATTTAATGCAATTCCAATCAAAATTCCAATGACATTCCTCAGAGAAATAGAAAAAGCAATCATGAAATTCATCTGGGAAAATAAGAGACCCAGAATAGCAGGAAGAGTGAAGCAGGTGGCATCACTATACCAGAACTTAAACTATATTACAGAGCAATAGTAACAAAAAGAGCATGGTATTGACACCAAAACAGACTGGTAGACCAATGGTACAGAATAGAGGACACAGAGACTAACCCACAAAACTACAATTATCTTATATTAGACAAAGGTGTCAATACCATGCATTGGAGAAAAGATAGCCTCTTCAACAAATGGTGCTGGGAAAACTGGAAATCCATATGCAACAAAATGAAATTAAACTCCTATCTCTCACCATGCTCAAAACTCAACTCAAAATGGAATAAGGATTTAGGAATATGACCAGAGACCCTGCATCTTAATAGAAGAAAAAGTAGGCCCTAATCTTCATCATGTGGGATTTGGCCCCATCTTCCTTAATAAGACTCCTTTGGTTCAAGAATTAAAATCAAGAATCAATAAATGGGATAGAATCAAACTAAAACATTTCTTCTCAGCAAAAGAGACAATCTTGTGAGGTGAATAGAGAGCCTACATCTTGGGAGCAAATCTTTACCCTTCACACATCAGATAGAGCACTAATCACTAGGGAATATAAAGAACTCAAAATATAGACACTAAAAAAACAAATAACCCAATCAATAAATGGGCCAAGGACCTGAAGAGGAACTTCTCAGAGGATGATGTACAATCAATCAAAAAATACATGAAAAAATGTTCATCATCATTAGCAATTAGAGAAATGCAAATCAAAATCACTCTAAGATTTCATCTCACTCCAGTCAGAATGGCAGCTATTATGCATACAAACAACAATAAGTGTTGGCGAAAATATGGGAAAAAAGGTACACTCATACACTGCTGGTGGGACTGAAAATTGATACAACCATTATGGAAAGCAGGATGGAGATTTCTTGGAAAATTGGGAATAGAACCACCATTTGACCCAACTGTCCCTCTCCTTGGTCTATACCCAAAGGACTTAAAAACAACATACTACAGGGACACAGCCACATCAATGCTTATAGCAACAGTTCACAATAGCTAAATTATGGAACCAATTGGATGCCCTTCAATAGTTGAATGGATAAAAAAATGTGGCATATATACACAATGGAATATTACTCAGCAATAAAAGAGAATAAAATTATGGCATTTGCAGGTAAATGGAATTAGAGAAGATAATACTAAGTGAAGTTAGCCAATCCAAAAAAATCAAATTCTGAATGTTTTCTTTGATATAAGGAGGCTGATTCATAGTGGAATATTGAGCGGGAACATGGGAGGAATAGATGAACTCTAGATATGGCAGAGGGTTTGGAAGGGAAGGAAGGGGGCATGGGGTAATTAATGATGGTGGAGTGTGATGATCATTACTATGCAAAGTACATGTATGAAGACACGAATTGGTGTGAATATACTATGTATACAACCAGAGATATGAAAAATTGTGCTCTATATATGTAATAAGAATTATAATACATTCTGCTATCATACATAAATAAAAATTATATAAAAAGAAAAAAATTAGTAGAGACATTAAAAATAGAAAGACAAAAAGAGAATATCAAAGGAAATTCAGCTACAGAAATATTAAAAACAGCCTAGCTCCTACACAGATGACATAAAACATCACATAAAGGATTATTTACCCTGTTTCTGTTGTTTAATACATTATACAAAACTTTCAACAAAAAACTATAAGCTTGCTAAAAGGCAAATGAAAACATAATCTCAAGAGAGAAAATATGCCTCAGAATAAGACTAAGCTATAGCAGAAATTTTAGAATTATCGAATAATGTATTGAAAATAACTGATCAATATGATAAAGGATTCTAATGGCAGAAATAGGCAACATAAAGAATACACATAGGTAATTTAAGTAGGGTCAGATACTCTAAGAATCAAAAGAAAATGCTAGATATAAAATAACATGTGCTCTCAACAAATAAAGAATTAGTTTCATGGGCTGGGCTTATTAGACTGAACATGGCCAAGAAAATAATCAGTTGAGCTTAAAGATATATGTCAATGGAAACTCCCTAATAGAAAAGCAAAGAAAAAATGATTAAAAACAGACCAGAATATCTAAGAACTGTGAGATATAAGGCATATAATTAAAATACCAGGAGAGGAAAGAAAAGAACAGAAGTAATTCATTACTGAGACTGTCCTAAAATTAATGACAGAGACCAAATCATAGATTCCTGAAACTCAGAACATGAAAAGGGATAAGTATTTTAAAACAGGATAATCATTAAAAAATCTTAATAATACTTTCTTAATGTTTTATGGAAGTTCAGATTACAGAGATGGTAGAAAAAGTTTGTGCATTAAAAAAAATCCTATAAACAAACTTAAATAATGGTAATATCAACTTTATGGGCTTGACCCAAAGCGTTTTGTCTTTGATTTGTCTTACCTGCAATACTTTCAACAATTACATAAAATGATAATTCAGGGTTATGCTATTTGGGAAGACAGCATAGAAAATAAAGTAACATGAAAAGTGTTCCCAAAATAACCAAAGTAAATTCAAATGGCACATTCCAATTATACAGACAAAATGTATACTGAATTTTAAATTTTATGTTTTAAGCACATGCATATGAAGAGTTTTTTACACAAAGAATTTAACTGTAAAGTTYTCTAACCATGTAATTTGATAGTGATGTTTCTTTACATTTCCTCTCCATTTTTCCTTCCCAATGCTTTAACAAATCCTTTCTCTTTGTGCAGGTCTTGGCTAAAAGTCATTGTATTAAGAGACCTCCCTGGTTTTCAAAGATGAATTGGATGACCCTGGTTTTCATTTCCTTTGCATCCAGTCCATACTTTTCATAAAGGTATCACATTCACATAATTATGCATGTGAAATTATAATTTCACATGACTGTAAATTCCTGAAGACAAACAGGGTTCCCATGTTTTGCTATATCCCCAGGGCCTAGCACTTTTCTTTGTTCATACTGAAACTCAATAAGCAGTTATTCAATGAACAGGTGAACAAAGATGAAGTTCTCCACTAGCAGCAACGGTCACTCTCAGTTGGAAGGCACTTTACATCATTGAAAACAATGCAAAAGCAAGATCCCCTAGAGCCTTTACCAAAAGGATAAGAAGCAAAATGGTTAAATTTATTCTAAAAGATTATTAATAGATCCAGAGACATTGTGCTTAAATAGTAATTACTTAAATATTTCATTACTTTTTAGATTATGTGTTTGTCAGATATTGTAATATTTCTGAAAGTCCCTCAGAATATTGGCATTCATTCAAAGCCTAACAAATGGTATGCTAAAGAGAGCAAATGTTTCCAAGAAGGTCCACTCCATTCCCCAAATGGGCAATCTCTTCTCAATTGAAGTTTTAAATTCCTAATGATAACATCATATCACTATTCATTAACATGTAGTTCATGTTCAGAAAATATCAAACAAAATATAAGAAAAAAAAACACAGTGAAAAGAAAATTCATCTTCAATTCTCATACCTGTAAGTGATGTGTTTGTGCTGCCACTTCTGTCCTGTTAATGCATATCGCTTTCGACGAATGTTAAATTTGGAGCTACCTCTTGTCTGGTCAGGTACACCACATCGAGGCTTCTTCATCCAGCTGCAAAAAGCATGGTATTTTGGTTACTTACTAGCAATCATGATTATTAATTTCAAAAGGAAATTGATTAAGAAGTTAATGTGAGATGGTGGTAATGAAAATGCAAACCATAAACTAAAGGGTTTAAACTAAAGTATCCTTGCAATTGGAATCAATGTAACACATATTTTTTGGGAAAGATCAAAAATCACTAATTTACTATTCATATCTTTTAGATAATTTTCCTCTCTCTAATTCACTTTGAGCTAACTGTAGAATGAAGTAGAACCTGCTATTAAAAGTTGTGTAATATTGGCCACCAATCATTAGTCCATTATGTCACTCTTAATATAATACTAAGGTATCCCCCAATTTTAATATCAATAATTTTTAAATCTATTACATGATTTTAAAATTCCAGGAAATAATAGGTATATGTTCATCTATTCTAACTTAAATAGCAATGAATTTTTTTTGTTCAAATAACATTTGCATTTCTCCAATTTTTCTTTTTCACTTTTGATCGTTGTTCTAATTTCCCAATGGCAGCCATTTACTCTGAATCTTTAATAACAAATTCAATTCATAAAAATATTTTTCCAAATATGAGGGTTAACATCACAAGAACAAAGTTGAACATTTATATTTGAACATTAAATGCTGCTTTCAATTTGTTACTTTGAATACTTATTAAGAAATTGTAATTTAGCTTCTTTTCTATAGTCTTATTTGACTATTGAAATGTTTTCTATCTATTCTCAAGTCCTGTTTAAGGAGAAAGATTTTCACAGCTTTGAGTAGTTTTCCTTTAGTGGCTTACAAAATGGTTTTCCTGTTCATTGACCCCTTTAATAACTACAAAGCCAATGCTGAATATTTATGGTAATATATGATTCACAAAGTGGAAATGAATCAGTTTTGGCTATATTTTGTAAGGTGCTTAACAATTTCTATACTTTTTACAGAAATTACTATCTAAAGGTGCTCATTTTGTAAAAATTAATCAGTWTATTTGCTACTTGGATAAATCAGTTAACTCACTTTTACAAACATAAGAATAACTTCATGTACCAATGCAATAATGACTTGTACTTCTTAAGAAACTTGATACTTTTTTTCCTGTGTTTTTATTCTGACTCCAGTAACATAGAAATTGTAGTCATAGGATTTAAGAAATGCCATCCAAGTTTAAAAGGATTATAGTTACTTTGCAAAATCASTCTCTCCCAATCAAATGAGATGTCTTACAAATGGTAACTCTTGGGAGGCCATCCTGTTCTATGGTATTGAACTCTCCGGAGGTGAGAATGGATACCTTTTAYTTTTACTAACTGTCTAGGACATTCCCAAACCCACTGAGTTGGAGAGATATTTCACTTGGCTGGAAAACATTTAAGGCAGAGGATCTACACATTCCCAGTATCTTGTGCAATGCCTAGCATATATGAGATATTCAGTGAATATTCAATGCATAGATGAATAGGGACACTGTGATTTTTAAATTAAAAATGGTCATTTTTAATGCATTTTTAAGATCTAAATACAGATTTAATTAACAAATATTAARCATTAATGATGTATCTATAATGATTTAAGTTACTCTTATATATGACTATTTCACCAATTATATTCTCCAAAAGTATRTAATTTTCTTAAGATAGGTACTTATACTTATTTATCTAACTGAAAGTACTAGGAAATAAATGAGATATAATTATAAAAGATGAATACATTTACTTAATGTGGGATATGGTGACAGCTAAGGATAATATTTAAATAAGTGCCTGGGAAGAGAAATAATTTTGAATAAAATTGACAAAATAAAATTAACTTTATCAAGATAAAGTACACTTTCAAATAGGGTATATTTTTAAAAATTACTTTAATATACATAATATTAAACATGAAGACAATGATTTAAAATTTAATAATTTAAACTTTCATTTAAATTTATGCATATGATAGAGACTTTAGTTTTCTCAGTGAAGTATGAACATCTTCCAGAGGACAGAATTTTTAGGACTAAATACTGAATTCCTATGCTAAAATATATCTCTGCTGAATTCCTAATGTATTTCTTAGGATTGTKCCCATAAAACTTTTATGTTCCTGTGTTCTATTTCTTCATCCATTTACTTATTTCATCCTGCTTCATATTTTTGAGTTTTTACAACTTACTAAGATATGTGGAAGATGAAAGAATGGGTAAAAAGATGAACAAGGCAGGACTCCTTTCCTTGCTAAGATCCTAATTTATAGASAAGATGCATGACAAGAAATTAAAATAGTCAGCCCAATATATCTGTGGGTTCTATAACTGCAAATTCAATAACTTCATTATTGAAAGTATTTGAAAAAACTTTCTATTTTTTTGCCATTATTCCATTTGTTTATTATTTCATAAAAAATAATATAACAACTACTCACATTGTACACACACTGTATTAGGTATTATAAGTAATCTATGGATTATTTAAAGTATACAAGAAGATATGTGTAGGTTATGTGCAGAGGACTTGAGTATCTGCAGATTTTGGTATCTGCAGGGGTTCTAGAAGCAACTCCCCCAATGGATTCTAACCGTGAGCTGGAATAAGTGCTCTCACATCTCCAGGTAGATTTCCTGATTGTGAACAGGAAATATTACACGTAATTAAAAAGAAAAATCATAATCTTTCTCCCCAAACTTGAACCAATGTCATCTGAACCAATCAATGTCATCTGAACATCTCTAATGCCCATGCCAGATATTGAGGTACATCCTCCACTATGCTCTCCTCACACACATTCAATCATAATGTTGTCTATTCTGCCTTCAAGTATCTCTTGAATCTCTCACTCTCATCACTGCCTTCCTTCTCACTGCTAGTGACATCTATCTTCTTGCCTTTGTTTTCTGTGACCTCTATTTGGAATAACTTTTTTCTCCTTACTAACCCTAAGAATCCAAGCCACTCTTCATATTCATCTCACACAGGGACAGTTCACTATCCCAATGCCACAGATACTGCACTATGTATTCTGATTCGAATTTATCTGACTCTATCTTCAACTGACCTGTGAATGGAGGGAAGGAACCCAGCATGAGGACAGTGCTCAGTGAAATCTCCCATAAGCAACAGGAAGTAAATAAACTAAGTCTACATGTTTTTTTGAAGATATTGATCTCTCCAATATCCTRCATGTTTCTTGAAAACATTATAACTCTTTCCAGCTCTGTATCTTCAAAAAATTCTTACTACATGGACATAACATGAACACTTTTACATAAGTCATCTACTTCAAGATTTAGCTTTAAGTGCTAAAAATAAACAAAATATTATGAAAAAATAAATACAACAGTAGGCATAATCCAACATCAAGTAACAATGCAAAGAACTTTTTTAAAAAATGTTTTTAGATATACATGGACACAATATTTTTATTTTGTTATTTGTTTATTTATTTTTAAACTATTTAAAAAAATATTTTGCTTATTTAGTTGTAGTTGGACCCAGTACATTTGAACCCAGGGCCTCGCATGTGCTAGACAAGTGCTCTGCCACTGAGCCACAACACCAGCTYGTAACAGTGCAAAGAACTTTTAATGAAAGTTGGTCAAGTTGAGAATATTCTGTTAAATTCACCAGCATCTATACCCAATATTTGTAGCATATATCCACTTGTTAAATCCCATATATTTGCATACATAAAAGAAGCAGGACTTAATATGTGACATATATACACATATGTGTGTGTATCTATACACACACACACACACACACACACATGTGTGTACATATTTATTTATTCATTCATTACCAGCTAATAACTATAAAAATCTGACTATCACATTTTCTATGTTATTTTTAGACAGTGCTTATTTGTGAAAAGTGTCTTTGATCAAACACACTTAATTTTTCTGTGTGGCAATATATAGCTCATAAATGTGTGCTTCTTTACTGACTCACTAGAGGAATTTTAATTTAGTCTTCCAAAGCAAAGACATGGGGAAGAGACACTGGGAGGAGAGTGTGAGCAATGAGAAAGGAATTTTGTAATATCAAGGTGTAAATAATGGAACAACCCCAATTTTCATAAATATCATGCTGATTTRCAATATTGACTATGGTTTCAAAACCCATGCACTTTTATCTATTGGAACAGATCATGAATGTCATTTAAAATCATTTAAATTAACTCAAAGGCAAAAAAAAAAATCAGTGTTTTGAGAGGAGTGTAAAAGTTGAGAACAGTGATTCTGATTACACTCTGGGTGTCATTCTGCTTCTGCAGACTCACTAAGCCTGTGATGTCAGTCAGATCATGGTTTCATTCTATGACTCAGTTTCCTCATCTATGTAGGGGAGATGATAATATTACCACCTTTACTGAGTTACTGTAATGTAGTTAAATCAAAGTAGTTAAATCATGTAAAACACTGAGAATAGTGTCTAACAGTAATAACTGCTATAATTACTTTATAATAATTATTGTGAACTTACAAATATCAGAAAGTAGACATACTAATAGCAATAACAAAGAACAGCAAGAGTAGCTGTATACAAAAATCAACGTGTTTTGGCTCACTTTAACCTGTAAGTTAATACACAGCATTTTCTGTTATGCAAAACAGGGATCTTTCTGGTACTTTGATTATAGAGATGGGGACATCTATACTTTCCTGTTTTACRTAAGTAAAGTAGCCATAAGTGCTAATAAACACATTTGTACATTTGCAGTATATGTACAGATATATTGCATATGGAGTGTCTGTTAAWTTCAATAAAACTTTTTCTTTTTTAATGAGTTGGAGTTCCATGAATATACAGAAGGCCATCTACCACATGGCTACAGGAGGAGACTGGGAGTTTCAGTCCGTGTCCCTGGTGGTCCTGCAGGGACCACCATTGCAACTGGAATTGTACTACRCAGCAGGTCAGTGTACATATCCTTACCTTTACCAAGAGAAAAAAAATGACTTGCCAAATTATATTTTGTTCTTTATCAATTACTATTCTAAGAAAAATAATAGGTTAGACATGTTTTTATTTCAGATTTCCCAAATTTTAATGAAAGGTAAGAATAATATCTTCTGCTTCTAATTCTTCCTTAGATGTTTCTTTATATATTCTTAAATTTTGTTTATTACTTTATATATTCTTAAATTTTGTTCATATTCACAGAGTTAGGTCTAGAAGTCATGAGGCTTATAAAAGCAAATTCTCTTGAAGCTCAAAATGTTGATGACTGGCAGCTCATTCTGGTCCAGAGCTATTTTCTATCAACTCATTAACTGCCTGCATGGACATACATGTGATTCACAAGGCTGAAAGTGCAAAGGTAAAGTCCTTGAGCACCTGAGAACAGAAAAGAAGTGGATTAAGCTGTCCTGAGCCTCTCTGAGAACAAAAGTTCTTTCAATGTCTGCTCTTATTCTGCCTTCACCATTTACCCTTCAGAATGGAATCTAAGCTCTCTCTATTTAGCTGCCAGCCATGCTTCTGTAGCTACCAAAATGAGGATGGATCTATCTTATAATGTTTCAGTGTTTGAGTACCATTAATAWATTCAGAAACAAAAAAGGTTTTATTACTAAAGAACCCTTCATTTATGTCTAAATTGAAAGAAAAGATAGAGTATTAACTTGTTAGTTCTTTAGACAAAAGAATTGAAATCATGTTGATAAATTACATAAAAATATAGTGGTTCATATTATATCTTGTTATATAAATATCTCAATTATCAAATTAGAAGTTAAAAAAATCTTTATAGGTTTATAATAATTTTCTGAAAAAAGCTACTTATTCAGWGTTAATTTAGTTTCAATTAAGTATAATTTCTGGCCAGGGTTTGAATAAACTGAAGACTTATTCATATTATATGATATATCAAAACACAGAAACATATGCATGTATCTGTGAAAGAATCTCAAAAAGATTTATCACTTTAAGAAATCTTCATCAAGCATGATTCAGTACATACCACCACACATGTGAAAAAGAAAACAAATTTAAAAATTACTATTAGCATTATAAAAACATATCAAACTCATTTTTCCTTATTGTATTGTTATTTTTTATCTCTTTGACAAAAATATATACATATATTAATGCATAGTATGGCTTTCTCCATTGACTAAGGAATTTAAGTGAATTTGCTGACAAAGCTCAGTCAATGAACTCATAAATTAAAAGAAACATTGCAACATATAATGAATTCATTTTTGGTGRAGAATAGGTAATTATTAGCATCTTTCCAAAACATGTTCTAACTGACACAAAAGAAATATAATACGCCATTTGAGATAATATCTCAAATGTTGCTTGAAACATTAAATGTGTTGCATGAAAAGAGTTCATCTCATCAAAATGATATAAGGCTTACCACAATTGTAATCATTACTTTTAATTACCCAAGAATTATAGAGTAAGTATACCACATGTCTGTCTGCCAAAGCAGCATATCATTATTTAATTTTTAAACAAGTGATCTTGAAAAAGAATCTAAAATTAGATAAGAGTTTTTAGACTCTGAAAGGAAATTATTTTTATAGTGAGAAATAATTTTGGGTCTAAACCTGTAAAATGTGTCTTATGTAATAAGGCTCAGATRGAACATTCACACCTTATAATTTGATTATGTAAAATAATAGCATTCAATTTCAGTATATATTGTTACCATATATTCACTTGAGATTACAAAAGAACAGACAATTGCTTTTAATAGCACGATTATGTTGATTATACTTCCAAAAATAGCACATTACTTGATCTGAGTAACTTGAGCAATAACATCAGGAGTAGAAGTACTTCAGTGGAAAAAAAACAGGAAGGAAGCAAATGAAGGCACAGGGTTATAGTTGGGGTGACAATAAGGGTAAAGTCMAAGCAGACACAGAATTAGAGGAGGCATGACTGGGAAATAGGGGAAAATGAGAGGGAGTTAACAAAGAATTTGTGGGTTCACCTGGAAATAACTGTCAGATCTAACACTTTCTAAAGAGAAAAATGCTTTAGCAATTTAAGTAAATACACACACACACACACACACACACACACACACACACACAACTCCAGTGTTGAAATTTGTTAAAATAATTTTAACAAGGTTTGTTAAAATAATCATACACAAAATCCAACACAAACAGACAGACAAGCAACTAAACTCCTTTGGTTTTTATCAAGGGTTCTCTATTGTGTTGATTTTTTTCTAAAATTCTGTYACAGAAATTCTACTTTAACTCCTGTGCACCAAAACTATCATCTCTCCTCTTGTGGACTCAGAGCCACACTCTACCCAGAAAAGACCCATATCCTTCTCTTCACCTCCATCTTTTCTATCTTCTCCTACCAGACAACAACAAACTGTTCAGATCCCTTTCCACGTGAAGGGCCCAAATAAGTCCTCCACACATTGCTCTTTTRTTATCTCCTGACAAAGACCTTTCTCTAGTTGCTCTAGGAAATCAAACCTACCCATCATGAATCCTTCCAATGACCAAGACTGAAAACAAAGGCCAGCTTTGTTTGGTGGGGTTTCTCAATTTCAATGTCTATAAAGGTACCAAAAACTTCCTTATAATTCTGGTATTAGTCAAGTGTGTCATATTTTCTAAAAAAGTGAACCAGGAGCTAACAATTCTCCACTAGGGAAACAGAAATGTGTATGGAATGTTTTGTAAAATGTTGTGAAGAGTGAAAATTAAGTGGAAATCTCCTCTATATAGTGACTAAACACAAGACTATCTGAAGGTTTTTGCCTATTAGGATGAGGGGTCCTTATTGCTCAAAATGAAAGTTGGATATGATATCATTAAGAAAGCATTATAAAGATTAGGGTCAGCAAGTCTCAAGGATCAAAATTTTACTCCCATTACTGATAACAAGTTTCTAATTATTGCAGAAAGTGTTCTGTTTATTCTTGATTTCWTTTGCCATGGTATAGATCAAAGGTAATAGTTGCGCATTTCTTAAAAGTGTTGGAGGAGGTAATAGTTTTTTTTTTTTTTTTCAGAATACCTTGAAGTTTAAAGCCTCTATTGTGTGCTTTCCTACCTTGTTGACATAGAAATGCTTTGTTTAACAACAGGCTATAAGCATTAGAAAGTAAAATCTAATCTCAGAATTGTATGTTAAATTAGTTTGAGGTGTCAGAATTACATCTGAGTCCAGAGAGCTCAAGTGTTTAAGGTTTAAAAAGAAAAATAAATGTGCTATTTCTTGAAGGACACAGCGGGGCAAGTTCCTCAGACTAAACGACAAAAGACCTGGGTTCTGCTGCTATTCTGGACTTGACTCAGCCTTTGACATTCAGTTCCTTCATTTGAGAAAGTAGGAAGAAAAATATCTTCCCCATTGTGGAGGTTGATGTATGATCATCAACCTAAATAACAGAAATAGAATCACTTTGTGAGTATCAAGGGCTCTAAAAACACAAATGATTTTTTCTCCACTGAAAAAAATTAATTACTTCCTCTTTTGCTGTCCAGAAACAAAAATGCTGCTTTATAATATTACAGAACTTACCCTGTGCCTGTGGAGAAGAGTACACAGTTTGTGACTATGTAGCTATGTATAGAACAGAGTTCCTTTGACAAAGACCTCATGTCTTCTGAACCTGATAAAGCCCCTTTCATAGAAAAAAAAAGTGCCCAGGAAAGAGTTACTGTTTGCATAAATAGAATGATTAATGAATAAATCAATAAGATAAAAAAATATTATTAAAGGGTAAAAAGCAGCCACTTGTTAACAAATTTAGAGACTTTCCATTGAAAATCCTTATTTGATTTATCTCACTTGGGAAACTGTCATCAGTGAGGATTTAGTAAACAATCAACAACTAGCCCACTGAAAACTTCCCTTCCCACCCATAATAGGAGGCCTTATCTGAATCACTTCCCAATTTTCATGTGTAAATATTTCTATATGGCTTATATGAAACTATTAACAGGACTCCATTTAACAGAGAGTAGCCTCTCTACAGATTTGCAGAAAATACTCTTACTAGACATAGAAAACAGTTCTATTATTCATTGTCCCTCCTTGAAGTGGCTTCAACCATAAACCCACCTTGACTTTATTTTCTTTCCTGGATTGAAAATGTGTTGATAAGATCAGGTGAGTAAAGCTAACTTTGGACCTAAATGGTGTATGAAATCTCAGAGGACTGGAGTTAAAATCGGACAAATTTTAAAGAAAAGTTAATAAGACAAATAATTTCATTCGTACTAGAGTTTGTGTAAAGTTTTTTGAGACTACTTAGTTTGGCTCAAAGACRAAAAAGGAAAGGAGTATGGATGTCATTACTTACTCGATTGTGTTTCTGTCCACTTTTCCTGTCATGTTWATGCCATAGAACTGCTGCATGGCAGCTAGGGCGGACTGCATGGTCTCTGCAGAGCGCAGCACCGACATTCTGGGGTCAGTTGGTGGGAGGTAGCCGTACTTTTGTAACCAAACCTGCAATAACAAGTACAGTTCCTTTTAGATCAACTTTACAATTTGACAATAATATTCTGGTTTTGATTTATGTCTGTAATAGACTGATAAACTTTATTTCATCTATAAGAAGATACTTTATTTGTTTGATTTCTACATAAATAATTTTAATATAGATTTAGTAGTTGTGGCTCTTTCTAACATACCTACAAATTCCAAATGAAAACAAATTAACCATTTCTTGAAACCTTAGAGCATATAAAGTAGTACAGTAAACAACAGGAGAAAAATAAGATCATCCCTGCATTCCAGGGCCTTAACATGCCAAAATCAAGAATGTACTTTTTCAATAATATACATATATTTGCTGGAAGGGGCAGCTAATRTGTATATACAACATCTAAAAAACTGTTTGCCTGAACTATTGACCAGTGGCCACAGTTGTGATAAGTAGCATCTTTACCGATAAACCATGWTATTCCATCAAAAAACTTTGCATGTAAGTTTATTGTAGCTAGGTCTATACAATTATAGCTAGGTACCTCCAAGGGTAGAAAACTTTTTCAAGGAAACACTATTTCTTTCTCTCCTTCCTTCCTTCCTTGTGATTCACTTCAGTCAAAATCACATAAGCAGCCAAACTTTGCACATATTTCTCAAATCCAGTTATCTCATTGTATATGTATAGACCTCTCTAAGGGTCTCTTGATTTGCATCTCCCCCTTCCCTAGTGAGAAGATCGGGGAGGATGGTGAGATAAAGAAATCAGAGTAGAATTCATATCCTACTAATGACAGGGGTAGGAATTCAAAGTTACTAAAAATTAGATTTTAAAAGTAATAGAAAACTCAGGACATTTTCTAAAAGAAATAAACATCTACCCAGGAGCAGATAATCTTTAGTTTAATAACTCTATGCATTCCTTTTAAATGCTCAACTCACACCCCAACCTACTGTTTTTTCCCTCAGTCTTTCTGCAGGCCCTACGATTTACTGAAGTGCCACAAACTACCTGTCAAATTGATAAGAACCAAGTAGTTACAATACTACTTAGTGTAAGATATTCATCTGTATGTTTCTCTCCCTTCCAAGGTCTATTTGTCACATAAAAATGATCCTAATGAAATTTCAGCTTTTCTCTGAAAACTGATATTCTTCCTTTGTAAAGTTATAACCACAACACAGGAAGAGTTATTTTCCCAGTGAAAATAAATAACAAAGAAACTAAATTTCATTGTAAGAGCCAATATTAAATATATCAAAATTTCAAAATGTATAACACAAAATATCTAAAAATGCAGTATCAAGAATTAACCCCTTGAAAATAAATACATCCTAAAAGTATTTAAGTGATATCAAGAAAGTTTACCAGTGAAACACAATCTAGTAAACTCATCTCCCACACAGGAAAAGCAGGCTAAGGTAGTCATTTCTCCTCTGGAATGAACAGGCTGCCAGGGAAAACAGTAAGTTGTTACCTAGTTAATACTGATACAGTCTTTCTGAATGAAGGAGGCAGGCAGTAATATTATTTATGAAATTTAATACCTATAGTMATGTAATTTCTCAAAATTGAAAGATTTTAATAATGTGCATGTGTCAATATTCTTAAACAATAATTTTTCCATAACAGTTTGCATTCATTTCTTACTTGTAGGAGAGCTGACTTGTTGCTAGGTTACTGCTGGGTGCTAAGCTACTGGCAATTATGTTTATGAGGACAGTAAAAAGAAAACCATTAATAATAAACCCTTTGATTTATATACACAGAAAATATAAAAATACATAATTGTTAAGTACATTATGAAAAAATAACATGTTCTAGAAAATACATATTTGATTTATTCCTTAGCCTTCCAAACAAATGATTTCAAATAATATAAAAAATGAATTTTGATTTTTTTCAAGTTCTATTTCACATTATGTTGTTTATCATGAGAGACTGTTTTTCAAAATGAATGAGAAGTTGGCAGTTCTTTTTAATTGTAAAATAAAAGGAAAGCTATAAGATCTACAGTTTTTATGGTTAAAAGTTTGTTTACTGGCTAACAACCAATGTCATAATTTTGTCATCACAATTTTGTCATGATGACAAAAGGAAAATTTCTACTAAAAATTTCTCCTTTAGTAGAAAATTTCTACTAAAGTACAAATATAATCTTATTTGAAAAAATATTTACAATGTAGTATTTGTTTACCTTACCTCTTCTAATTTTCTACTGTCTAGGGATAATAATTTGACATGTAATCTTTCTATCATTTTCTATTCAGAGAAATTTAAAGATATACACATGAGTATGTATTATATGTACACATATGCATATATATATATAATATATAATATATTTTACTATAGACATCCATTCTTATTTGAAATATATCATGGTTTTCAACATTATTTAAGTACTGCCACTCATAGATGATTAGAAATGCTAAATCTGTCCTCTTCTTTTTTTTTGCTTTGTTTTATTGGGCTCACTGATGACAAGTGCATTTAAGAGCACAGAAAAATTATTAAGGGAAAAATAAATTTCTTTAAGGGAAACCTTGACTTACGATACTACCTGCGACTTACTCCATCCCATTGCCACCAGTACAAATAACCTTGGTACCTCAAAAGGAGCTACAAAATCTTACCCTGAATTACTGCCTGTGTCACTCAGTCCTTCAAATATCTTGCTACCTTGTGGACAAAACCAATTTCCTGCTCTTAGTGGTTATTCAATTGAAGGAACAAACAGAATACTGCTGTTCTCAGCAGAGCAAAAAGATATATCAAGCAATAAAAGGTAAAGAGTTAAATATTAAACGCCACACCAGTAGATATTGCCATTACTGAACTGAAGTGTTAGGGAGTAGCAGACACACAAAATTTCAGCAAAGTCCACTAAAGAAACATCTTTGTCAATAATATTTCATGTACCATACTGCAAAAACCCACATGAATTGTCTCAGTCATTCACAAACATATATTAAATAGCATCCTGAAAAATAGTTATAAAAAAGCAGATGTTAGTAGTTCATATAATTAAGGGTACATGAAAGTACTTTGTTAAATTTTATTGAAAAAATTTCTTTAGTGTTTGAAGATAATCAGTTTGCCAATGCCTTCATATAAAGCTACCGTATTCATTTACTTAGATAAATCACATATGYGAGAACAATTTAAAAATTTTCCTCTGACATGATAAATATAAAGAGAACACATTTTATAATGACGACTCTGAATAATTGCAAAGTGCTCCGACATCCTTCAAAATAAAATAAATAAGCATATGTGATTTAATTACTAAATTTATTAGGGTTGGAAAGGATGCATTTTAGCAATTATAGAAATCACTGGAGGGAAATATAAGGAGAGATGGTTTGGAAATTTTATTTAACCTAAGTTAAATATGTAAATATGTTAAATATGTAAGTCCACAATGCCCATTTGAGGCTCAGCCCATTATTTCAGGTTGGGATGGTGAAATTCATTTCCAGCTAAGATGTGCTGTGGCAAGTTCCTTGTACCCAGTTCCTATCATTTCAAGTATGATGCTCTCTATTGAAAGAAAGGTCAGTGGTGATAATGTTTATAGTACTTACTTAATACTATATTATTTCTGTTTACATGATCACATAAACATTTTTATTATTTTGGATTTTTTTAAGAATTACTGACTTCATTTCAAACTAATAGTGATAAAAATATTGAAATCTATAATGATTAATATTTTGATATAATTAACTGATTTTCTTGAAATACAACTGAAAGAATACGTTTTTAATAGCTAAGTTCTTGATGTTATAAAAGGTTAATTTCCTTTTACACAAATTTGTTAAATTCTATTATAAACTAAGACTAATACTAAAAATGGATTACTACTCATCAGCAAAGTCAGCAAAAGCTTCAGGATTTTTTTCCCTGAAATAAGATATATTCACTGGTTATAAATAACAGCAGGATTTAGGGTCTACATTTTCTAGTCTGAAAAGAGACTATAAATATGAATTATAACTACCTATTAACCAAAAAATTAAACTGATGTAGAAGGAGTCATTTAGAATTGGTCAAATTGAAAATTCATAGAATAAATTAACGAGGCAGAAATTAGCCTTTCTCTTCATTCAAAAATCTAAATGGGCTCTAAATCACCATCCCATCCCCACCATGAATGAATCAGTGTATAAAATTGCATATATAGAATTCAATTCATTTGGAAATTTTACTGTCTATTAAATGGCTTCTTAAACTGGAAATAAAACAGTAGAAGGATCAAAAGCTATTCCATCAACCATCTCATCAATCAAGAGGCAACTGTTATTTGGTCAAGGAGACAGGAAACCAGCTGCCTTATTCATAAGTATAAGTCATTATGACCATTATGACCATACTTTTTTCTTCATTTTCCCCTCTCAACTTGAAAAACTTTCATTTATGAAAGAAATGAAACACTTAGATTGTAAAGGGAAGGAAGAGTTTCTCCACTCTGCATAAAAGTAATTTTTTTTTTTACTTTGTATTTAGCAAATGTGGGGGCAAAATCCATTACACAGTAATGGATGACATCCAGTGAATCCAGTGATCAAAACCAGTACCACTTTTCATTGGGATTCCATCATGTGTTGGTCTTTATTCTGGAAAGATACAGAGRAGTATAAGAATGCCTCCTTCTCTGTCTTTACTGGTTTCTCTTTTGTGTGTTTAGATTTTCTAAGTATGTTTACATGCTCATGTATACAAAATATGATCAAAAAAGAAAAAGAACATATCACAACAAATAGCAAATAACTGCAGACTATGCATATGATACCACAATCTTCATGATGTTTACATAGAAATAAATAATTACCAAAAATTACTCATAATAATCATTGTCATGATTTTACATTATATTATGATCACCTCATAAACACAAAATACTAAAGTCTCCTTCAAATCTGGGGACTGAAACCAGGATATAGCTCAACCACTGAGCTATATCCCTCTGCCCAGTTTTTAGTTTTTATTTTGAGACAGGATCTTGCAAAGTTGCCCA